CCCGGGGGTGCACACGCTCAGAGCATCTGTCTCCCGGGGCCTGATTCTGGCGTGAATCTCTGTGACCCAGATGTGCAACTCAGCCACATATGCAGACAAATAACCACTCAAATCACAAAAAGCATTCATGGATATAATTAGATTTTTTTCTCAGTATAAATTTTAAATACAGAAAAGAACAGAGTAATCTAATAAATGCCCATGCTCTCCAACTCTCATAATTTAGTGTTAACATTTTACAACATTTACCTTCTGATTTTTAAAAAAATCTAACAAGACTAAAAGTACAATCTCCTGCATGTACCTCCCTCCCCAGAGGAACCCCTCAGCAGGAATGTCAATGCTGGCCTTTTGGTCCTCTCCTGCGTGAGAGCAGACTGGGGGCCCTGAGCTCAGTAATAAACGGCTTTCCAAATTCCAGTCTGGTTGATCTGGTTCCTATCCTGAGTGACCCATAACAGAATATGATCATGTGCTGAACACTAGGAAGAAACACAGAGCACGAAAAGTGCTGTTGGCAAAAAATGTATCTGGTGACAGATTTTAACTGGAAACATGCCAATGACTTATCCAGGAGTACACAATTGTTGATGTACTGTGTACACATAGGAAAACCATGTTGTGTATATAACCTATTATAATAAAGAGTAACAGAAACATTACTTGAGTAGAAGAAAACATTTAATTTATAATAAAACCCTAGATTAAAAAAAGTCTGAAAGGATTGGATATCATCAGTCAATTTCAATCCAGGTATGCTCATCATGCTGATACCCAAGTAATATCTTGGATCCTGGACATCCATTTGGTTTCTGGCTCGATTTGTTTTTCTTTTGTGTTTTTTTCCTTACTGGAGAATTCAGGCAAGTTTATCCAGGAACTGGATTAATATTACCTAAGTAAAATATCTTTATTTATTTGTGTGTGTGTGTGTGTGTGTGTGTGTGTGTGTGTGTGTGTGGCCAGCTCAGCCCACCAGGGGGCGGGGCTGGCTGGCATGTGGTGCTGGGGGATTGAACCGTGGTCCTTGTGCTTTGCTAAGCTTGTTCTAAGTAGGTGCTTTAGACCACTGAACCATCTCACCAGCCCCAGTAAAATATCAATGCTGAAGAAGAAAGAGATTTTTTTTTTTCAAGAGGCATAGGAAGATTTATTCCACACAGCCCAAAGTAAAATAAAATGAGGAAAAAACTTCAGGGTGAACGGTAGAGAGGGGAACATTTCTGATGAAGAGGCTCAGATGGCTCAAAGAAGAAAGGTTTTTTGTTTTTAAATTTTTATTTTTTTTTATGTTTTGATAAGTGATGTTTATTTAGATACAATATATATGTATATTTTAGTTCTTTTTCAATAATTTTATTGAGAAACAAATAGCAATGAGACAGTTTCAAACCAAATTGTTAGGGCAGTTTCAATTATTAACATATTGCATGCATTCTTCCTAGTGGTTAGTTGCTGTACAGGATGTGGACATGATATCCTATTTACAAGCACTATTAGAATAAATCCCTCTATTCATTGAGAGAATGTAACTATACATCTATCCTAACCATTTTGAATACACAGATACAAAGTGGAAAAAAAAAAGGAATGTCAATGCTTCCAAATCTTGCTTTTAGTTATACTGCACATAATGAATCTATAAATGCTTATCCTGGTCTCATGTCTTTCTTGCTCTAGTTTTACAATGTACATGAATGGGATCATATTTTATTTGTGGCAACATGGTTTTTTAATGCAGTAATGTGTTTTTAAGAATTAACTTTGGGGGGCCTGCCCCTCAGTTCAGTTCTTTAAGTGGCTGCTTCAACAAAGCAGTCATGGTGAGTTCAGGTTGGCCTTGAACTCACCATGAAGTAACCCAGGCTGGTTCGATCCCCACAACTCAAGCCAGCCAAACCTGCCCTGAAGGCATTCGGAGGAAAAAAAAATCATCTTTGATGATACATATAGACACACACATCTAGTTTATTCATATTAACTGTTATACAATACATTATCACATGAATATGTATAAATTCATCTCTCTAAAGCTCTATTTGTAGACAATTAAGTTCTTCTAAAACTTCCTGTAACAGATGAGTCTGTGAATATCAAACATTCTGTATGAACTTCCTGGTTGCACGCATGCACACAATCGAAACTACTGGCTCAGAGGGCGTATGCATTTTGCCTGTCACTAGATAAATAACTATCAACCTGCTGATTTCCAAAGTTATATGCCATGTTTACAATTTCACCTGCAGAGTAAGAGGGTTCTTGGGTTTTTTGTTTTTTTGTATTTTTAGAGATGGGTCTACAGGGTGTTCAAGGTCTCACTACTAGATCAGACTTGTAATGATCTGCCTGTCTACAGCCACCCAAGAGCTGGGATTATAGGTGTGCACCACCATGCCCAGTCTCAATCACTGTCTCAGCATGCCCCAGGGGCGGGGCCAGCACAGCAGGCCGGGGGATTGAACCCTGGACCCCTGTTCCTGCTTGTAGGTGCTTTAATCCACTGAGCAATTTGGCCAGCCCTTTGTTTTATTTTTTGAGACAGGATCTTACTATGTAGTTCAGGTTGGCCTTGAACTCACCATGAAGTAACCCAGGCTGGCTGGAACTCCTGGTGATCCTTCTGCCTCAGCCTCCAGTTTGCTGGAGTTATAGGCATGTGATACCATGACCATAGAGGGTTCCCGTTTTGTAAGATTTGCTGAAAATTTAGATGGAATGCAAATATATACATAAATGATTGTATCAAAGAAAAAGAAACAAGTTAAAAATAACCACTAAGACAGTAAGAATTTCCACCTCCAGGTCACAGAGGCAAGAAATAATTTTCTCCTATTTTTTCATGGAAAACTGTTTACTGGGTCTCTGGTGTTTCTGCCTTTTAATCCCTTTGTATCAGGTAGGAATTGCTGCGGAGCAAATCCACCTGAAGGCAACCTGCTTAAAACAAATACTTCATAAGCACGTAGATTTCCGGATTGATGAGTTAGGATGGGCGCTAGATGCATTCACACACTTGCCCGCTAGGTGGCGCTGCTTCTGGGGTTGGTTCACAGCCAGCTGGGGCAACAGTGGTGGCTTGGTCTCATCGTGTCTTTCTTGCTCTGGCAGGCTGGCGAGGGCTTAGTCTTTGGGTGGTGGCAGGGTTCCAAGAGTGACAGCAGAAACATGCAAGTTTTCTGGAGGTGCAAGCTTAGGCCCGGCCCAAGGTCACTTCTGTCTCAGTCTGTTGACCAAAGCAAATCTCAACATCTTAGATTTAAGGTATGGAAAAATTAGACCCCAACTCATAATTGTAGAAGGAGAAAGTCACATTCTTTCTTTCTTTCTTTCTTTTTCTTTTCTTTTCTTTTCTTTGTATCAGGGATGGAACTTGGGACCTTGCCAAGCAGGTAGTTATGCCACTGAGCTATATCCCCGGCATCTAGAAAGTCACATTCTAACGGATATGGACATAAGGAGGGGTGGAGGAGTGCTGGGTGGCTTCACTGGGAAGCTGGCCCTGAGACAGAGATCAGCAACAGAGAGGTCACTCAAGGAACACTCTTAAGGCCAACATGTGTGAAGAGCCAAGGCTCAGCACACTCTATGGAGAAGGCTGAGCCTGAGACAGACCTTTACAGAATTGTCCTGAGCTGGGGGAAGGGGATCAGCCTCTGTGGTTTCAAGTTGATCAATCATTTTACAGAGGCTGCCTCAAAAACGTGGCAGCCAAGGACACCCCTAAAAAGGGGTTACACCTCGGTAGCGTCCCAAATTTTCTGATCAAGAAGATTATGGG